TTTCTAAAACAGCTTTCTAGTGTAAAAATTTCTTAAATTTGAAATTTTTTTACTAGAAAGCCGTTTTAGAAAGTAGTATGAAAGTTGTCCCAAACGAAACCCAAAGCCCAAAGGTTTGTATCATATTTAAAAGCTTAAAAACATTAATTTCATAATCAAATAATCTTCAAATATAAAATGCTTATAGTCAAATTGAGGGGCTCGATGAGACGAATCTAAGAATCATAAGATCACTTAATTATAGCATCATTAAGATACTTAAATGCTTGACAAAAACTCTATGATCGAAGGAATCAATAATGATCGTCAGCTGGAGCACTCCAAATTTGCACGCAATAAGGGAAAAACGAAGACTGGCTGCACGCTTGGGCTTTCAATTTTCCCTTTTTTTGGGCAAAATAGGTCTGCTGGTGCGAAAATGCTTAAAACACCTTAAAATTTTGTCGGTGGGCAATTGCCAACCTTCACCGCTGTATAGGTCCGCCCCTGCCAAGTGTTGAAGGCTTGAAGCCCAGATTACCCCGAGTTTGTTCAAAATGGAAACATATTCATTTATAAAGAAACTTTGAAATGGTTTATGTGATGCTTTTTCTTCATCTATCTTTTATCGAGATAATTTTTTCAGACCATTCAATCATTGACTCCAAGCTATTTGCATCATGGAAAATATTTTTGTCAATAATGTAATACTGCTTCTGAACTGCTACCTCCTCACTATCAATAAGTTATTTACTTTATTCATTAATTGAGATTCTTGACAGAGGAGCTGCTACTCAAAATTTGGTTGCTTGGTTAGGTTGTTTTCATTTATTAGTAAATTTTATATGATTTGTTGTTCTTAATATTGCACGACATAAACCAAAAAGGTATTTGGTCTCGTAATTGTCTATTAATTCTTTTATAAAGGAAATAAGAAATTTTATTGGCATGTCTGCAGTTTGGAATATGTTTCTCTTGGCAAACAATAAATAATAAGGTGACTTTATGACCGTAATCTCATTTATTTGACTTCAGTCATTCATCTTGAATATTTCTGTATACGAATAGTTTCTAAAGATTTGTTCTAGATTATTGTATTGACTTATTACAAGTTTCTAAAGATCTAAAATAGCATCTTAAGCATTATATGAGATAATTGAATGTTGGGATCTTCGTTTCTCTCAGCTTGAAATTGTTCTCTCTTGATGTAGTAAGTTTCGTTTGTCATATGTTGATTCTTTGTGTTCAACAGAAAGTGGTATTTCTTATTTTGGCTAAAAGCTTCTCCCCTCTCTCCTCTCCCCTCTCTTTTCCTCTTATTTCTAGTTGCCTGTGGTTTTGGAAAAATTATTCTGTGCGGAGTCTAGACCCCAATGAAAATGCGCCACGTCCGATACCAAGCTTAGTACCATGCGATACTCGGTACTCGGTACCGCTCTGTGCCTAAGCCTAAAACGGACAGTTCTCCCGTCTGGTGTTTGTACAGAATAATCTCTCGTGGTTTTGACATGTTTTGTCATAATGCAACCATCTTCTTGTATAGTATTTAGAGGTTGTAAGTAACAAATTTGAATATATTAGGTAGATGATGATACATAGGGGTGTCAATATTTGACACAACACGAAAACCCGACCCAGAAATCCGGGTTGGACCCGACCCGATTTCAAAACGGGTCGGGTTCGGGTGGACCCGACGGGTTGGGGTTCAACCCGGAAACCCACTTAAAATGAGCTCCTCGAGACTCCCCCGGCTACCCGCGCCAGCTCGCGAGGTCGCCAATGCTGCCCCCGCCCTGCCCGAGGCCGCCTGCGCCGCACAGCTGCCGCTGCCCGCTTGCCAGTCGCCCCCGCGCTACCCGCGGCCTCGCATGCGCCCGCCTGTCCTGCCCTCGCATGCTCGCCTGAGTCCGCCGAGCGCCCCGTGTCCGCCCGCCTGTGCGCCCTGCGTACGAGCTCGGGTCTCGTGTCGGGTTGGGTCAACCCGGCAACCTGATGGGTTGGGTCCGGGTCTGAGTTTTCGACCCGTTTGCCTACCCGGGTCGGGTTAGGGTCGACCCGATTGAACCCGGGTCAGTTCCGAGTTCGACCCGAATCCGACCCGTGATCCGAAATTGACACCCCTAATGATACATACCTTAATATAAATTAATATTCGACGGAGAATGATAGATAACAAATTTATAAGAGTTAGAGAGCAGAGCCCTGCATTGGGTGCCCATACCCACACCCACCCACATACCCACCCATACCCAGTGGGCATGGGTGGGTATGGGTACGCCCATGGCATCATGGGTGGGTACGCGTGGGTACTCAATATCAGAGGACAAACTAATTTACATTACTAATTATCATATGCATACAGTATATTACAGTAATCCTTATTACGAAGTGCGCAACACTGATCCGCATCATGACCACGATAAATTTTGATATGTGGCTTGAAAGTTTGCAGTCAGAGAAACTGGCAAAAAACTCAAGGCCATTAATCCGTGGCAGACTGTATTCAAAAAGCGTGAAAAGTGGGTGAGTGTGGGTGGGTATGACATCTCGAAAGTCACCATAGGTGGGCATGGGTGGGTAAAGCCCGCTAGCGCAGAGCATGGGTACCCAACCAGGACCCCATGTAGGGCTCTGTTAGAGAGTGGAAGGTTGAAAAATAGTAATAGTTGAAAAGACGATTTATCTTTATGTTGTAATACTACCTCTATCATTGTCTATGAATAAGAGAGTCAAAATTTGAAATATATAAGGCCTTTTTGTTTTATTTTTTGAGATATATATTATATCCTTTGAACCAGCTTGGCCTAACCAGCCCTCATGGTCTGAGACTAAGTGTTCCTCTTCATTGTCATGTCCTGGTAAGATATCTCATATTTGCGTTGATCTCAAAAGCCTTGGCATAGTTGTCAACATTGACTTCATAGCCACAACCCTTGATCCAATCCCTGATTATCACCATGGCACATGTTAGATGACCATTGATAGGCCAATGATCCAAATGGCTACTATTAAGGGCCATTTTGAAATGATATGGACCTCAGAGATGAAATGGTTCAAATATCTATTTGTTAATTTACTTAAATAGCAAAATGATGTTCACAAATGCTTATTAATACCCTTATAGGGAGCGAAGGTAATGTATTTTTTCTTCCCATTCCTTTCAATCCAAAGAGGAGCCCCAAAATCATCTTCCATATGACAGCCTTCTTCGGTCATCTTGATTGGCTCAATGCTATTTTCCTACATTCGGAAAATATGTTTGAGATTTATCTTATGAAAAAATTAAGCCATGATATATTAATGTAGAAAACATCAACATATATTTTCAAGTCTTTAAATTTACACTATAAAAATTATGGTGTCTCTTATGAATGCTACATCCTCTCTCTTATTTGATTGTGTGCTGGATCTTCGTACAATGCTAAGATGTTAAACTATATATTTCTCTACTGCCGCGAATACTCCAGGATGGAACAAAACATATTATTTAGAGATTTAGCATTATATAAATAAATATAAATTTTTAAATAGTATATATGACATACATACATAAGAATTGATAATAATTTTACTAATTTACCCATTTACTCTGTATACCAGTCATAATTTTCAGAGGGGGTAAACTTATAAGTAATTGTTCTCATATATGTCGGGGTTCCAAGGGGGCAAACTTATAAGTAATTGTTCTTCTGGTTGTTATGATGTTAACCTTTTTGTTGTGTCCTATTCTTATTTTGGTGTTTTGCTTTTTCTTTTTTGTCTTTTCTTGTTATAGATAGAATCATCGGCTCATAGGTTTTTATTCAAATACTATATTTTTAGAGAGCTGAAGGTTCTTTAAGGACTTATAATTTCCCTTTTTTATTAACACATAGGCCAAAGGATTTTATCCAAAAATAAAAAGATTTTTTCTTATTAGATTTATACTAGAATTTGATTCTTGATACGTCATCACAAAATCATCTTGATCGGGCACGAATCTCGAGGCAAAAACTAGTTGGAAACTTCAAAAATTAATTTCGGGAGCATATGAACTCTGATTTCAGCGAGCTTACAGTCAAACTGAGCGTCTCGGAAATACGAACCCAACGACACCAAGATCAACCCAATCCGAGCCCAAATGAGTCCGAATCAAGGGTTCAAAGCGCTGTTGGAAGATTCAAACCGCAATTTGAGTAACCAAACGGTATCCGATTTTGACGAGCTTATACTCGAATTGAACGGCTCGACGAGACGAATCCAACGAGCCTAAGATCATCAAATTCTGACATCATTAAGGCCTTCAAATAACCAACGAACGGTACATGATCAAAGGATTCGATATCGGCCGTCCATTCAAACCACTCCTAATTCGCCCTTGATCTCACGCCTATTTACGGGCTATGCCACTCCAGAAAAACTATAAATAGAGCCCTCATTCTACACCAAAGGGACTCAAGTGAAGAGAGAGAAGAAGAAGAGAAGGAGAAGGAGAAAGGGGAATAGGAGATTCCTCACCTCCTCGACCACCGCCGCTGGAGTTTTTCCTGCCGCCTGGAGACGCCGGAACTCTGCCTGATTTTCAGGAAGCGCAGGGAATTCGCAGGATTTTGTGAATTTCGTGAAAGAGACAAGTTGTATTTGGATTATCCCGACTTGTGGGAAGAAATCCGCCATTTGTAATCTACAAAAACACTAGTGGAAATTTGCAACTGGGCAAGGCCCCGTGGTTTTTCCCATTTTTGGGTTTTCCACGTAAAAACTCTTGGTGTTCACTCTTTCTTTATGTTTGTGTGTTAAACTTACGTGCAACGCTCGGACGCGAATTTACAAACTCTATCGCCGCGTATTTTCTAACACGCAACAATTCTTAATAGGACATAATGAAGTACAAGAATTCATATAGTCGACCCCCATAAGAGAATAAAGGCCTAATATTATTATTGTTGTTGTTATATAATAAAGTCCAAACTAAAACTCGTTAACTAATGAAGCTCAATCTCAAATCAGCCGTGACTAGAACTCGGCCCCACTGGTTTTCACCCCTAATTCCAATTCAGTGGAGCAATGCCTAATAAAACCTTAGTGTCATTTTATGCGGAACAGAATCTCCCTGCAGATCTGATTCAAATCACTTTTATCACTTGAATCAGTGCAGGAAAACACAAGCTCATCGGCGTCTCCAGCCGCTGCTAACAACCCAGCCAATCTTGTATCCGCCGCTACATCGCGTACTACCATGCTCCGTCACTGGACTTGGTGGCTTGTGGTGGCCATTTACATCCTCCTCCTCCTTGCCGGCCAGACGGCCGCTACTCTACTACAAAGATTCTACTACAATCAAGGAGGTAATAGCAAGTGGATGCAGACTCTCACCTTCTCAGCCGGCTTCCCAATTCTCTACATCCCTCTTCTTCTTACACCCTCCACCTCCTCTTCCACAGAAGCTAAGCAGCCCCTCATCAAGATCTCCCTAATATACATTGCCATAGGCCTTATTACTACTGCAGACAGCCTAATGTACTCATACGGTCTTCTCTTCCTCACTGTCTCAACCTACTCCCTCGTAAGCACAACTCAACTTGCATTCAATGCCGTCTTCTCCTACTTCATAAATTCAGAAAGGTTCACACTGCTTACCCTCAACTCAATCATCCTTCTCATTTTCTCCGCTGCCATATTAGGTGTCCACTCTGATCAAGACCCCTCGTCCTCATCCAACATATCGGGTGGTAAATATGTGCTCGGCTTCTTGCTGACCTTGGCTGCCTCTGCTACCTATTCCTTCATACTATCTTTGATGGAGCTGACATTCCAGAAAGTGATCAAGAGGCAAACAGTTAAGGCTGTTTTAGAGATGCAGATATACACTGCTCTTGTATCCACTGTGGGAGCAATGGTGGGACTCTTCGCAAGCAAAGAATGGAAAGGATTGAGGCAAGAAATGGATGGTTTTGGGAAGGGAAAAGTTGGTTATGTGATGACATTGGTTTGGGCTTCAGTTGCTTGGCAGGTGACTAACGTGGGACTGGTTGGGTTGATATTTAAGGTCTCCTCACTCTTCTCCAATGTGATTAGTACTCTGGGCACACCCATAGTGCCAGTGTTTGCAGTTTTTCTGTTTCATGATAAAATGGATGGGTTAAAGATTATTTCATTGCTTTTGGGTTTGTGGGGATTTACTTCATATTTTTACCAGCATTACATTGATTACATGGATGAGAAGAAGGAAGAGTTGCAGGAAAGTGGAAGGCCAATGGAGAATGAGATATCTACTGTTATGAAATAGAACAGGAGATAAGGTATGTTTTGTTTTTTGTTTGTACCTAATTAAGTAAAATGTATTTAATGTATCATTACATCAACAAAAATTGCAGTTCATGGATGTCTGTTGGGTTTATAAATTCCTATGATCCAGAAATGCACCCATTATGATGGCAAAATATTGGAAGGCAATCTTTTTGGGTGAAAAAAGGAAAATTTTTTCAGTTTCTGAAACAGAATTGGCTTAAAAAAGCAATTAGTTTGTAAACTGATAAGAATTGAATTTTTATAAGTTTTGTAGCTTGAATCAGTTGATGTTCCAATGTCAATGATGGTCTTCCCTCCAGAAAAAGGATGAAAGGTCTTGAATCTTCTTCAGTTATATATTAAGGAAGATTTGATCAGCTTAACAGCCTCGATTTGAGCTAGTTTGTTTGTGACACGAACTAGAATTGTTTTCTCACAGTTGATGCTAGTCCATTAGTTCATGAAATGGCGCCATTTAAAAAAACATTATGAACATAATTGAACAAGTTGATACCTTTCATAAATCACAACGTATGAAGAGCATGAACCACACGACAACCATGTTGATAAAAAAGGTACAGAACTTCATCTTCACTATGAAAAATAATTTAAAAAACATAACATTAATTACAAAGAAACCGCTTGTTTCAATTTCCGAGCATTTAATAAATATTTCTTGTCCTATTTTGGGCATGCTGCTATCTCAATTGCGTCCAAAATGAGTTCATTCCTCTTGCATTCTAATGTGTTGATCGTCGAAAGAATCGGACCTGCATGAAGGCAATCCCAATCCAAGGAACAAAAACAAGCACAAAGCTTCAAAAGAGGATAATATTCATCATACCCTTCTTACTACAATATTTTGTCTATTTGTATGCTAATAAGAATATTCTAGAAACTTATAATAAGCTAGTCCTAAGGAGCACTTTTAATAACATTCTAGAAAGTAGTAACAAACTTAGATAAACTATTCCTAAGGAATACTATAACTAAAATGCTCCACATCTCATTCTACCTTTCAACCCTCAACTTTTCAACTCTGTAACATGCTCTCAAAACCATAAGACCAACATTTATAAGAATTTTCATGAAATATATGGTTAAATTAAACAAAAGTAGTTGAACTGTTACTCACTACAAAGGAAATATCAAGTGGTCACGAATGATTGAAAAACAAGTAAACCAGTCCAGTCATAAAAAACTACCAAGTTGTTTCAACTATATGGACATTTGATAAATATACATACTACTAGAATCTATACTCTACAAAAATCCATCTCTGATAGCTTAAAGCAAATCCCAACCTTTTGTTTCTTTCAAGCGATCCTGACATTTGATTGTTTAGGTAGTGGAGAAAGCATGGCACCTTTTATAGTTTAATGAAATGAGAGCACAGCATACCACTCCTATGCCAAACAAAAACATAAATTCTACATGTTGATCATAACAGTTTCAGTCAAAGCAAAACCAAATGTATGTGCTTTGAAAGGCAAAAACAACTAGATGTAGATGTTGATGAATTATCTCAATATGTATTTGCATATAAGGCCATTGCACATAGAAAATAGAAATGATCAGGCAGGCATAATTTGCAGAGCAATAGATCTTGAAATGCTATGATGTAAAAGATGAATGGTTATATAAGGCCGCAATGGGAATCCAAGTTCCATTGGTTCCCCGAGTCTTTTGCTGTGATAATCACCATATCTGAAGACTTGTATCCATCTAAGCATAAAGCCATAGTTGCTCTGCCTTCCTCATTCGATTGATCTCTTCATTTCTTCTTCTTTTTTTCAGTGAAATCACGCTTAAAATGCCCTGATTTGTATAGACGTTATATGGAATATGAAATAATTATGTGAAAAATATGGCTGAGAAAAGTTGTAATTTAGTAAATATGTTTATCTGCTAGCTAGATATTACATGTGATGATTATATAGCAGGCTATTAATTATGGTTGATATCATTATCTTTTCTGCATATATTTGCATTCTTCACTTATGTTTTCAGATTTGCTAGATTGGAATTGCCAAATTATGATAATTTTTAATAAATATGTTCCTCAAAGTTAATGACAAAATTATATACTCCATGTCGAATTTCACTACATTGAAAATGTCAATTAGATGAGGGATTATTGTGAGGTGGAATCAGAAATATTTATTTACGAGGACATAATTACCGTGTAATCAAATTAGAAATTGTATTGAAAATTTGAAAAAATAATTGCCATGATGACTATGAAATCTTACTAAAATTATGCAGCTCATCATGGTATGTTGGTTGGGAGCTTTGATTACCAACCAAGAGGTCTTTGATTCGAGTCTTGCATATGTGATGTGTATGTGAGTTTGTCTTAATCGACCTAAATGTTCTTAAAAGATAAAGTAAAATGATGTAATAGGAGGAATAAAATTATTTTAGAATATATTAATACAAATTATATAATATGAGTTTAAAAAATATTGAATTTATTTGCAAAAAAAATTCATATGCAGCATTCATCTTAAAATAAATTTAATTATTTTCAACCCCACCATATTATAATTTATATTGGGATATCTTACATTAATTTATCAAAGAAAAACCTTAGTGTTTAATCATCGAATGATATTCATTTAACCCATATGAAAATCACCAACAACATATTGATTTGATATCTGGGATCCACCGAGGCTTAGGGTGGTTAGTGGGCGAGCATGGTTGGGAACCCCCATCTCGGGTTCGAATCCCCTCTTCTAAGGCCTAGCCTCTTCAATGGGGCAAAATAAGTGTGTGCCCAATGCAGGTGAGTAGCCTCGCCAAATTCCGCCGCCAACTGCTCCCTTTAGAGTGGCAACAGTTAGATATCCTATTTAAAAAAAAATTGATATGTGGGACCACAAATTATTGAACTGGAAGATCATAATTTTCATAGGATTCACATCAGCATTTGAATTTTTTGAATATGCTCTTAATTGAGAATGACTGTGAGGATGTTACTAACTAATGAGTGATTTGAGTTAAATCTTTATTAGTTTTTTTTTAGAATCAAAGTCAACATATAAGACTATTATGGCCCTACTCTGTTTATAAATTCAATGCTCTTTTGCTGTGCACAAGTTTTCAAAGGATTCGTTAGAGGTTTTTGTTGAAGGTATAATATTTCTCAATTGATTTTTGATCCGACTTCAAGAGAGTGACGGCCGCGTGATGTGTTGGAGGTGAAGCTTTGCTTTGAATTTCTGCACAAGATATTTCTGCTCCCAGCAATCATTTATCTTGCGCATTGGTTGGTGGTACATCTAATCATAAGTGTTTGGTGAGCCTGCCTCTTTTTAGTTGGGAAAATTTCGCCTTTTCTAGTTGAATCTCTCTCCGATAAGGCTCTTGATTAGAACTGTTCATTGTTTTTCTAAGACAAACACTTGTCAAGTTTTATCAAATACTCTGTGATTGCTCTTATTTCTATGAGATGTGTTGAAAATCAAAGGAGGAAGCTCTTGTTTGATCTTCTTGCAAGATCTAGAGATGGAGAGAGGAGGGAGAGGGGAGAAGGAGCCGTGAGCCAAAAATGATCTCAAAAACTTTATTCCCTTGGCTGCTTATTACAAGCCTAAACACATCTATTTAAAGACTCCTAAAGGCTATACAAATAGCCCCACATATGGCTACATATTTCATACACAAAACCTATACAAGAAAGAATCCTAAATCTAGGAACAAAACACAACAAGATGTAATGTAAATTATATATATATCACTCTATAAGAAGTTCTATAAAGTTATTTTCAAGTTCATTGTTAAAGAACTTTTGAGTTTTGCTCAAATTAGTTAGTTATTGTTGAAAGTAGAGATATATTCTGATTACATTATTTTGGCAGCTGAAATTTTTTTGAGTTTTAAAAAAAAGTTTCGATCTTCCTTCTTTGTTTAACACATATGAGATATTATCAAACTGTATCACACATTAGTGAGGAATAGAAAAGCTCATGATGGAGCTCTCCAAGTAAGACTCACCTTAATAGCTTGGGATATGCTATTGGAATTTGACAATGTTCAAAAGAGAACCTCTGGATATACTTATTGAGTGATCCCTTCCATTCATTTAGAGATTCTTATTTCTATTACAAGGCTCAAAGTGTGTGACTCCCCAACCAAATTTTGATAGTTTTAAGTTATTGAATTTTGATAGTTTAATACTCTTCATCACATCTTTTGCAATCATAAAAGAGCTTAGAATTTGAAAATATCTCTCCTCTTAATCCTTTATATTATGGAAAACATTGAGTATGTTTGTTGGTTTGATAATAAAAAATGTTTATTTTTAGGTAATTAGCAGTGGGGCTCAAATCTCAATCTTTTTTTTAACTATTTGGGGTGGTCATCATTGAAAACATTTAGCATGCTATTTTTTAAATGCAGGACAGCCTGGTTGCCCAAACAAAATGGCTACTGAAACCTAGGACCTTGAACATGAGATGTTCAAAGTACTGGAATGATGAGACGAAAATGTTATCATTATCCACAGGAGGAATTATCATCCTTTGTTCTTTTTGGATATGTTGGGATTGTTTGGATTAAAGAGAAAAAAAAAAAAAATCATTCAATGGTTGGTTTTCACTTCTTCTTTGGCAATAGTCTAATGATTCTATTTAATCACCCGATACACAGTGGTACACAATAATGATATACAATAAATTGGTGACGTGACGCATCCTGATTGGCCTTTGGATAGCGTCCGATAACTGCACGTAATAATTTCGTATTTACTTGGATTGATTTGGCTTTATGGAGCTACTGTTTTCAAGCCCTTTTGGGACATGATAGTGCGCTCAACAGGATAATTTTACTATGGACATAGCTTGATATTTTAATTATTATAAATATTTATTTGATCATTTTCCTTCACTATGATTCTCACTTAATAACTATATTAATCCTTTTTTTACAGAAAATTTTGAGTTTTAATTTCCCATAAAACTTAAAAATGGAGAAATATACCATCCCTTTTATTTCTCGAAAAAATAAGCCTAAAATTTTGGTTCGAACTTTTCAAGCCCTTTTGGGACATGATAGTGCGCTCAACAGGATAATTTTACTATGGACATAGCTTGATATTTTAATTATTATAAATATTTATTTGATCATTTTCCTTCACTATGATTCTCACTTAATAACTATATTAATCCTTTTTTTACAGAACATTTTGAGTTTTAATTTCCCATAAAACTTAAAAATGGAGAAATATACCATCCCTTTTATTTCTCAAAAAAATATGCCTAAAAGTTTAGTTCGAACCAAAGCACCTTTCTATGAACTA